TGTTTCTAGTATTGTACTGATAATTTTTGTATGATGTTATTTTTATTTTTATTTTGGTATAAGATGATGCTTCTGAGACATATTTTTTAATTATTGTGAATTTGAGAATACAGGAAATTGCCAGAACATAACTTGGGTTTATTTTAAATAGTTTTCAAAATCTATTTGTGTACTTTTTCAAGTGTTTGAATATGTATTTTATTTGCAGAACTCCAAACCGTTAAGCTACTAGTGTATAATATAGTATAATTAAATATTCTGGTGTCAGAAAATGTATAAAGTAATGAAATTAATGGAACAGAAACCTATGCTTTTTAGTAATGTGAATATCCCAACAAAGCCAGCTATCTAGAAAATACTTTATACGTTCTTTTTGAGAGATAATTGAGTTTTGATTCTTAGCGACGGGAACTAGGCTAACTTAGTGCATAAAGTAATGGGAGCATCATGTTCATTAAAGCAATCCGAATGAATATTAGAGTTAATTTTATTCTTTCTAGATGAATCCAGTTACTCGCCTCATAAAGTATTGCCAGTTAATACTATCACATCAAATTCTATTTTGTCTTGTTCAAAGGTAATCAATTATCAAGTCATTAACATTTTTGCTTATACTCCTTGTGTTTGTATGGAATATTTTGAGGTTATTCTTACTGTGATTAAAACGATAAAATTTAAGGTTATTAAATGTATACGTTAGATATGTGGTGTAAAATTAATAATAAAATATCTATCAATGGATAAATAATGATTCTGATGTCTTCTAATTTGTTACACATTAATGTCATTTTTATTGATTTTAATGTAATATTTCAAAATTCTATTCCTGTCAAATATTGTGGTTGGTAATGCGTAAATATCGGGCATTTTATTTCATGTGATGATTTGTGACTTCAGCTTTCTTGAAAATTCGCAATTAGAAGAGTGTGTGTTTTGTATGTATTCGTACATAAAATTCCGTTACACATGACAATCGTACCCTTTGTTACTGCACTGATCTCAGAAGCACCTAATACACTGCGGATAGAAAGTAAATCAGAACAAAAAACGTCGTCGGCATTCAGTTTTAATCGACATCGCGGTGTAACGTTTTGTTAGGAGTTAATTAAATTTAGATTAGTTAATTTGTTTGCTACTATTCAGACACACAAGATGTACGAGGCCGTTAATAATGTGAAAACAACCAACAAATCTTCTTCTCTAGATACAACCGTGCCGCAGTTTCTTAGATTCACGCTCAACAGGTTTTGTAGGGTACAAGTTGTAGGTACAGGATGCGAGAATTTATTTTGTTGGTTATTGATAGAAATCGATTAAAGCTGGGAAATGTCTATTTATGTTTTTGATGCGGATGTAAGGCATAAAAAAATGTTCAGTCATGTGTTGGTCAAAGCCGTGGACAGTCTTGGAGGAGATGTTGATGTCTATAGATTTTTTGAATTTTCTCTTTAGCTGTTCGCGCCTTGCATATATGTTTTTTATTTTGTATATGGTTTGATTCAGATAAAATCCATAGATTTTGAGTTATTAAGTTTTTAATAGAAACAAGACTTGACGTAAAAACTAATAAAAATCAGAACGGTATAAATCAGCTTCAAGCGTAATAGAGAAAAACAACTATAACAACAACATAAACAAACAACTATCACTAATCAAGCCCTAATTTACAAAAACTGCTCGAAAATATCTCGACGTTGAATACACAGCCGTAGTCTTTAGGTAAATGACCGTTGCACATCCCTCAGCATGTGTTCCCTTATGTTCAGAAAAGCATCCTTAATCCTTTCCGTCATATTTTTCGGGGTAGACGGTGGGTATCTATAAACCTCTTATTAACGTAGCCCTATAGAAAGAAGTCCATCGTTGTCATATCTGGTGATCTAGGAGGCCAAGCTCATAAAATTGAATCCAAACTTGTAAATATACAGGGTGATGCATTTGAAATTTTAGAGAAAAACTACAACTTGCGTTTTTGACCACCCTGTATGAGCAAATATTAAAATTGGAAAAAGTAACAATCAAGATAAAACCTGAGGTGTGTAATTTTCTGATACAAAATTCAGCTCTCCAAATTTCAAAATGGCGGACTGAGGGGTTGCCGAAGTGGCGGATTTTTCTAGACAAAACAGACTATATCTCAGTAGCTAATTATAGCAAAACCCCATACTATGTTATATCAATTTTCTTCTTTTGAATTGGTTTATCCACATATGCAATAAAATTTGAGGCATTCCATTTGAAAATCACAACTTCGATATGTAGGTCAAAATTGGGGCGCCCTGTATATTGGACAATACTTTAGAAATGTGCCCTCAAATGTCGTGTATATCCCATAAATAGATTTTCGCAAAATGTACTTTTTTATGGGTAATATTAAGTCCATACATGGATGGTCCACCCTATATATATATATAACTTTACCATATTTGGATGAAAAGATACTAAAAAACCTGGCTCGGAACAAAATACTAATTTTTGATATTTGTTTTAAAAAAAATTAAACAGTTTTTGACGCAATTTTGAACTTGGTATCATGCTGATTGTTTAAAAGGCTTTTTGAGTCAGATTAGCCAAATAACTGCGAAGGTACTTCCTGGCTACTACATAGTGACACGATCGCAAAGCATACAAGGAACCAAAGCGAAAGTTCGAAGGGACACCAACTTCATAAAGCTTCTCCAGGTATAAATATTAGCACATAAATAAATGAACAAAACTTAAGTTCTCAAGAAACGTATACTAGATATCAATCTTTTTTTCACTGGTCCCTGTGAACAGTTGTAGCAATGTAGGGGAGATGAAAAATAATAGCGTTTAGCTTTTTTGATCGCCCAACGTGCCACACGTCAGATACCTCATTACCTAGTTGGTATCTACAATTTTCCAACGGAGCAAGATCACCTACCATAAAGAATATAATTCAGCTTAATTTTGCGGCGTTTAAGATACGCGCTAGTCCCGAGGCTGTCACGATTCCGCTAATAATTAATGGAGGAACAGACAAGCAGAGGAGCGGTGCATCTATCAAGTTAGCCATGCTGATCCCGCGTTGAAGCTACCACAGCCTACTAGATGCTACGCCACTTATCGTTTTGCGTACACGGAAAATCCAAGTAAGCGGTATATAGACTTTTGTTTTAGTTGTTTGTTGGTCATCAATACATTCGTCCATCAAATTCGCTGTGCTGGTACCCAGATGCTACCGTAGTCTACTAGACGTACTGGTAAAAGTAAACAGAAGCTACATATTTATTTGATTTAGGTTGCCATTGATACATCTACTAAGTCAGATATACCTACTGCCACACCTCCACTCCTAACTGCAATATTATCTGGCAGGGGCGAAGTGCATAGTGGGGGGAACCAAATCCATTTCCGAGCAAGCGGTGGACATGGGAAGCATTGTCGGCCTGATAGTACATAGAATATAGGTGTGGTCTGTATGGTGAAACCTGAGCCATGTGGGGTCAACTGAGACCTGTTAGTCGTGCAAATATATGTTGCCTTCATTTGTCAGATCAAAATATAATAGTCACTTTAAAATTCAAACTGCTCCTAACCTTAAATGAACGCACGTTCTAAGCAGAGATATTTCTGTCCGATATCTGCTAGGTTGCGTTTCTTATAGACGCCACAATGAATTTCATGTCAAAAATGGGCGGTCCTCAAAATAGAGGATTTTACAAGTTATCAATATCTATGGATTCAGAACATCCTTAAGAATATTTCAAATTGTTTATCAGTTCTGCGCAAGAATGCCGACCTCACCCCGTAAACCAAAGTTGATAACGAAGTTGGGTGTACCATTGAAGGCGCTTTAAGAAATAAACAGTTATGATTCATTTATTCACTGGATATTCTTTTTATTGTAGAGCTAACTATTTTTAATAGAAGTTAAGTTCTATTAAACTCTTCCGATCGGCCTTGCAGGAAGGCCAGTAGTTTTGCTTATGGTACTTAAACTACCTAGAAGGTTCTTCCATTAAAATAAAACATTAAATACATACAGTAATATATTTTCATAAAAAATACTTAACGAACATTACTTGAGCTCCATCGTAAACCTAAGAATGTATTCCCACATTTTTTAAGAACAATTTTAGTATCATATCGATATGCTAGGCAGCAGCGGTGGCCGCAGTAGTAGACTCTTCGGTCTCCTGATCATTCGCCGTGCGCTGTGCGGGTTCGAGTCCTGTCCCAGGAGAAATTTTTCTCTTGGCTATGCATGTTGTGATTGTCCGTAGGTGGTAGACCGTCTCTGACTGTCGAACGTGGAGGTACCACCCGGCGGATCTCGTAGGCGGGGCCAGAATGTGTGCATGTTGCATGCACACGTGTTCCCTCGCCAGAGTCCGTGTGGCGTATCCCCTTTCCCCTGTATCCCCCTATAGCCCCACGGTACCCAATGGGCGTTTAGGCCTTAGGCCTTCGTGGTAGTTGGAGTATACAAAAAATGCTACAGACAGAAAAATACGCTTGAAGTTATGGGAAATACGAATAACAAACAGACGCGGACTTGACCTACTCCGTATTCAGCGTTAGGGTGCAAGGCACAGAAAGTGCCAACTTCTGGCATCGCCTATTCACTTTACCAAGTATAGACCAAGCAGATGGCCCTCGATGCGCCCCAAATGTTTGTCATTTTTATTAGGTATCTCATCATAGGCGGAACAGTCGATAACATACATTAAATACGTTGCAAGTAACCTTTATAATGGATTAAAAACAGTTTGAAAACGTATTTTGCTGTAAGTTCGTAGTAAAATTTCAACGTCGACGACCGATGTCAACCAAGTGAGGGCTCATTAACAAAATAAAGATGCTAGCGACTCACCATCTGAGTTCTTGAGTTCGATGGGTGTTAGTGTGATGAGAAGGAACCTGTCATTGCATGACAATAACTACGACTTTTTTAGAATTGGCCTTTCAAAGAGGTCTACCCACTTGAAATACAGTAGTTTTGATACCACTAGTCATCTATTGCATATAAGTCTTACCTCCTGTACCAGTCTGTAGTGACTTACTTAAGCATACTCGTAATTGATTAATATTGATAATTTTTTGATCAAACATATAAAACAATAAACGCTTACTTTTTGGCTACCCAACTACAAATATTATTAATTGAATACAACTTTTTCTACCCAAGCAACTACATGATGCAGAATCATCAGCATGACAGAACAAACAAAATATTTTCATACCGTAATTTATAATGAACCGTATCATAATATTTCATTTTTTCTACCGTTCCGTTTGTAACATGCACAGTTTATTGTCCGTCACAAATTCTTCGGGTTAACTGTCAATCAGTGGCTTTGTTTATGCCTTTATACGCGTGAAGGTTGTCCGTTAAGGCGTCCTTCATGGCATACATACCTACTCACTCACTTTTTTCAGAACCTACAAATATTAGAACTGCGCTGTATGTCTTTGTGCATTAATGTCAATGCGGATACGTTATTTTTTCATAAGAAAGAACACGAGTCATGATTCAAACCAATCTGAAAATAAATAAATTATCTAATTAACGTTTTACCTGCCCCTGCAACCATTTTAAAGTATGAACCCAAAAAAACATATTTCAACATCGACTATTAATTAGATCTGAAAAGAACATAAATTTACAAATGTTCAAAATATACGGGAAGGGTGGAAACTGGCCCAACCACACTTCCCTGTAGTACTCTAGGTGTAATATCCATGTATTCTAAGGTCTAAAGTACTCATGTTCTTGTTAAAGTCTGAATATCTTCTTCTATTGAACGGATGTTTTTGAAAAAGTAGTCTTTATTATTTTATTGAAGATCATTAAAAGATTCAAAGTTAGCAACATATTGTGCATTAAATTAATATCTACAAGCGACCGGACGAACATAGCACACATGCATTACATTTCATTATCGCCCATGCAAAGCTAATAAAATTAACGTTAAAAGCGAACATCTTATCTAAAAAAATTATACGATTAAGCAAGCATGTAATAGTAATTACTGACTGAAAAGCTAGAGTGCTTGGTAATGGATACCTTAATTAACTCGAACTTAGCGTTTTAACTAGTTTGAAGCAAAATCACGAGATTTGGAACGTATCCTGCTGATAAAAGACAAATGAACTGTCACCTGGTACACAGATGAATATGAAATATATTGTAATCTCAAACGTTTGTAATGGGTCATATATCGAGTTTTAAAATCATAAGGTAGACTGGTTTTGAAGATACGATAAGTCAGATACACCGCTTATTTGTGGGTGACAGCACCAGACATACCAAACCCCGTGGTTGAATTGAAGAGAAAGACGCAGTTTCCTCACTGTGAAGAACCTGAAGGTTTACGCAACAATTACATTTCAATCTGATCCCATATCATAATTGCCTAATAGTATAGATATGTTAATGTATATGTCGTCGTCAAACGCTGAAATCCGTCATTCCCTGAAATGCCTACTCAGTCCCCGTATTGCCGGCAAACACCGCAACAGTTTGATTATTACAACTTCTGACTAATCATTTCAGTTATTCCCTGTAATGACTGAAGAATTTCAGTCAAGCACCGTAACAACCGCATTAACTTTGTTACTCCATTTGCCTGATTCTGTCATTGTACCAGTTTTGTGTTCATTTGCTTGAGTATACACATCGTCTTTTCTGTGTTTGTAGAGATGTCGCAGCATTCAGAATTGTTTTACAAGAAACTATGACTATGTAAATAGGAAAAAACCATGGAATACAAATACAACAGCAGCATCCATTGTTGCCGGATTTCATATATAAACACTTGTTAAAAAATCAATACTGTTATAATAAAAACAAAGTTTTAATCTATTCTTCTTTCCTTTTAGATTAAGTTATGCTTGGTTATTTTTCTTTTAATTTTATTGATAAATTAGTACCTTGCCATATTATGTATTCATTGGGGCAACACTGTATTGATTACATCGTTTGATTAACATATGCAGTAAAGAAGTTAATGTGGTTGTTACGGTGTTTGACTGAAATTGTTCAGTCATTACAGGGAATGACTGAAATGCTTAGTCAAACGTTGTAATAATCACTGTTACGGTATTTGCTGGCAATACGGGGATCAACTAGGCATTTCAGGGAATGACGCATTTCAGCGTTTGGCGCCGACATATATAACACAGTAAATGTTAATCCACATACAGAGAAAGGCCGTTCTATAGTCAGCTGTGTCTATTTCAGACGTGCTTGTTCTTAAATTACCGGAAAATGTCGATTTGATTTATGTTATAGACTATTTTAAAGTCCACTGGTGCTCTTGACGTATAATTTACGAAAGCTTAGAAAATAATATCATGTAATTTCACTAATTTGCAATAGATGTGTAATGTGTAGTAGATCATAAGCTATGAAACCTGATATCTGGCAAATACAAGTAGTAGCAGAGTTACAGAGTAAAAAAGTTCAGTAGTACTAATCAAGCATATAAATCCATGCATTTGTGTATTTACAGTATTATTAAAGGTTGCAGCATGGTGCATATGAAGTTGATCTAATAAGTTGTGTTACTGATCACTTTATTTTTAATGTAGCTGTTTAACGTTGTTTATTATACGGAGCTCGGGCCACGACTGTGGCCTGTTGTAAGTACAATTGACGTTTCTGTGACACGCCCTTTCAATTCCTCGGATTCTTAGGATAAATCAACAGGTGCTAGAGAATGCGTAAAATAAACGCCGAAGCGTTGGCAATTTGATTAAAGGTATTATTATACCAGTTGATTGATCTCAAGAATCCGAAAAAATTGAGAGCGCATAACAGACACTGTTATATATTGTCACAGAGTTAACAATTGTACTTTTTGTTTTTTCATACCGAAACAGCCGCGTAGGCAGGAGCCTAAATACCAAGGCAATGCGAGTGCTATTAGGAGCTTAAAGAAATGCTATTATCCAGATCTTGCCTTCCTTGAAAGTAGTGGTCGAAACTTCATACAATAAACAAAAATCTGAACATATATGTGATTTTGAATCGGGCAGACAACGGAGTCCTCCATTGGATTCTACGACCTTCAATAGTTTAGTGTGGCTGAGGATCAAGTCTCGCGTAATCATCAGGAGGACCAGCCTGCTTTTATACTACAAACCGCCAATACAAAATGCGGATTGGAACTCGAGAGCTCAGTAGGCTTAATACTGTCTCAAAACAAGAGAAATGACACGTCGAACAAGCTGTTCACGTAGAACTCGTGTAACATGCATCCAATGCGATGTTAAAACAGTAGCGTTGTCTCTTTGTTGGTGTGTAGCCACTTGCTACCGTCAGACGATATTATTTAAAGCCAAATGCGCTCAGCAGTCACGTCAATGGCTCTATTCTTTCCATGTTACGTATGGTGCGCCAAGACAACATGTAAAGCTAGCACGCTGTTGCAGACACGACATCTATAGTACAGGGGAGCTGCTCAGGAAGTAAAATTATGAGAGGCTTGTTATTGTCTGCCCTGACTAGATAAATGGAAGGTGATGGCTATTCTGTCTAGAACGATAAAGCTGATTAAATTGTATTAGCAAAAAATCAACATACAAATGACAAATTCTGTAAAATACTCAAATTTTCATGTAAAACCGAAAACAGAAAAGAAATGTAAAGCGAATATTCCAAATTTAGAAAAAAAAAACGCTTTATTACAATGCATTTCGTACTGACAAACGGAGCATTTGTCTCCGAGTGACATTATGCGCAAAGGCGTACGCAATTTGATCGCGAAGTGAGCATACTTTCTTAAGTTACAGTCTTTTAACAAAACTGGCAGCAGTCAGCTCTAAAAACGGAAGGATGTCATCCACCCTCATAGACGACCTGTCTATCAGATGAAGCACTAAATCGCTACAGTGCTACTAGCAGTGACTTTTTCGCCAGAAGTCAGCCACTCTGTTTGCTTTCCGTTGACAGTCTCGAACACAAGTCATGACCGTGATATTGCTTCATACAGAAGGAGGGTTGTCTTGACTAAGGTGAGATAGATGCAAGTACAAGAATCCTGGAGTTGCGGTGACAACGCAAAGAAATTCAAATCAGAAAAGAAGTTCGTTCTTTGTTTATGTCGAGCTTTCGAGAATCTTTATTTTCTTCGTCAGGACGCAATACAAAAATTGTGTGCCAACTTAAATCTAAGACAATACAAATTACTTACAACGTTGAAAGCCTGTTACGAGAAACTCAATAAAAAAAAACAGCAGAGGAAATCATTAATGATTTAACAACATTAACATCATCCTGGTTACAAATAAAAATATTGAGTGGCAGGAGTTTTCAAAGCTAAAATAGCGGTTACAACCATTTCAAATGGCAACTCCGCATATTCGCATACAGCACTGGTAGCGACTTTCTCTCTCACGAGAGACCTGGAGGTTATCACTGCTTGGAGACGCAACAATCTGGTACAGTTTAATGCTTCCAAAACTCAGTACTGTAGCTTGAAAAATAAGAAGCGTCCTAGCACTCTTCTGGTTTTGATGGATGTGAGTTCTACCAAAGAGCCGTTCATTTCGGCTGTTTGAAGTTCAGATCACCGGGGACTTGATCTGGCGCGAACACATGCCGTCAATAGCGGCAGCTGCTGAAAAACCGCTATTTGTTGAGGCTAAGAAGTAATTTTCTCCACATGACCTCCCCACTCAATATAAGGCCCACATAAGACATATCTTCGAGTACTGATTACATGTTTGTGGTGCTGCCGCGCGATGTTCTGCCAGACAGACCCGCCTGACTTCAGCCTCTCATCGTAACCGTGTCGAGCTTGGTACATCCAGAACTGGTCGATATGACTGCTTCTTTGTCGCTAGAGAGGAAGCTTTTTCCAGATCTGAAAGTCTTAGGCAGTTCAAAAATCGGATTAACAAAGTTTCTTTAAGATCCTTATAGCAGCCGTGGTGCCGCGGCATTTAGACGTCTGCCTATGGTCACAGAGGAGGAGTGCAAACATATCCAGTTTCAGTCTGTTCTCTCCAATAAGAAATTTCTATCAGAGATCTTCAAATACAGGCATCCAAAAAAGTTAATGATATGAAGTTTTTACTTAAGGCCCTTGTTGTGGATCAGTAAATTA